ATTTAGGGTTATTTAGGGTTATTTAGGGTTTAGGGTTATTTAGAGTTATTTAGGGTTTAGGGTTTAGCGTTTAGGGTTTGGAGGGTGGGGGTGGATATATGCGATATATATATATATATATATATATATTTATATATATATATATATATGTATATATATATGTATATATATATGTATATATATCTCTTTATATATATATATTTATATATATATATTTATATATATATAAATAAATATAACTAAAACTGTATATATGCATTTGTATATCGTTATATATATTAAACCCGCATAAAATATGTCGATAAAAAATATATCTCAGAACGAACAAACAAACAAATAAATAAATAAATAAATAAATAAATAAATAAAAAATAAATAAATAAATAAATAAATAAATAAATAAATAAATAAATAAATAATAAATAAATAAAAATAAAGATTGAAGCATTATTATTATTAAATGTTTGTTTATTGTTTGTGTGTTTGGGGTGTATACGCAGCTTAAAACGCTACGGTGTCTCTTGCATACCATGTGTAAAGAAATTTATTTTGCTGCCTTCGGCTGATGAATTTATTTTAATTGCATGCGATGGCTTCTGGGGTGTATGGGCAGCTTCAGAAGCAATCGAGAAAACCGCTGAACTCATTCAAAAGGTACGCCAGGCTTCTGCTGCTGCTGCTGCTGTTGCTGCTGCTGGCGGGGGCGGTGGTGGTGGTGGTGGTGGTGCTGCTGCTGCTGCTGTTACTGCTGCTGGCGGGGGCGGTGGTGGTGGTGCTGCTGCTGCTGTTGCTGCTGCTGCTGATGATGATGATGCTTACCTGCTGCTGTTGCTGCTGCTGCATCTGCTTCCTGCTGCTGCTGCTGCTGCTCCTGCTGCAGGAGAAGAGGTCTTCGAAGGTCAATAGCAGGCCCTTCGATCTCTCAGCTGTTTGCCGCCAACTCGTGAGCTGATGCTGCTGCTGCTGTTGCTGTTGCTGTTGCTGTTGCTGCTGCTGCTGCTGTCAGATGTTTGCCGCCAACTCTTGAGCTGCTGTTGCTGCTGCTGCTGCTGCTGTCGTCAGCTCTTGCCCCCAAGTGGTTAGATGCTGCTGTTGCTGCAGCTAGTCCTGTAGCAACGTGCGCAGCATCAGCAGCAGCAGCAGCAGCTGCTGCTGCTGCTGCTGCTATGCGTTTGCTGCAGTGGATGGAGTAGTCTCTTCGCTTTCTTTTCTCTGTTTGCCGTTTTATTACAATAAATATATTATTTTTATTTATTTATTTTATTTATTTTATTTATTTTATTTATTTATTTATTTATAGGTGGATTTTGTGCTCGTAGATCGCAAGGCGCAGGTAATGCTGCTGCTGCATCAAAAGCTGCAGCAGCAAGAGCAGCAGCAGCAGCAGCAACAGCAACAATATCAGCAGCAGCTGCAATAACAGCCGCAGCAGCAATGCTGTTTTTGCTGCTGATGTTATTGCAGCTGCTGTTCGTGCGGCTGCTTTTGTTGCTGTTGCTGCTGTTAGTGTTGCTGCTGTTGATGTAGCTGCTGCTACTGATGCTTTTAGTATTGCTGCTGCGTTTGCTGCTGTTGCTGTTGCTGCTGCTGCTGCTGGAGCGGTGTCTCTTACCCGTAGTTGCAGCTGGAAGGCCAGCAGCAGAAGCAGCAGTTGCTGCTGCTGTTGCTGCAGTGTTGCTGCTGCAGCTGCTGCTGGTTTCTACTCTGCTTTTTGCTGCAGGACAATGTCAGTGTGCTGCTAATTCTTATTAATGAAGGCGAAGCCCCACAAAAAGCCGAAGCCTAATCAGCAAGCAGCAGCATCAGCAGCAGCAGCAGGAGCAATACCTACAGCAGCAATGGTAGCAGCACAGTAGAGGGATGGAGAGGTGTTGTTGTTGCTGCTGCTGCTGCTGTTGTTGCTGCAACGCCAGAGGCTACAGAGCCAGCAGCAGCAGGGGGATCAGCAGCAGCAGCGGGAGCTGCTGCTGTTGCAGCTGCTGCAGCTAAGCCAGCACCCGCTACCTTTGCTGCAGTCATTAGACTTATAAAGCGAACTGACATATGTCAATTTTGGGCATACTGTTGCTGCTGCTGCTGCTGTTGTTGCTGCTGCTGCTGCAGTTGCTGCTGCTGCTGGCTTTTGGCTATGCTCACGCTGTCCTTATTGGTGCCGCTTTGCTGCGTTTGCTGCTGCATTTGCTGCTGCTGTAGTTGCAGCTGCTGCATTTGCTGCTGCTGTAGTTGCAGCTGCTGCAGTTGCTGCTGCTGCAGTTGCAGCTGCTACATTTGCTACTGCTGTAGTTGCAGCTGCTGCAGTTGCTACTGCTGTAGTTGCAGCTGCTGCAGTTGCTGCTGCTCCAGTTGCTGCTGCTGCAATTGCTGCTACACGTACTACAACGCAGCAGCAGGGGCTGCGGTGTGTCGCCGCTGTTGTTGCTGCTGCTGCTGCTGTTGCTGCTGCTGTTGTGGCATGTACTGCAACTGTTTCTGCAGGTGGGGGGCGGCTGCTGCTGCTGCTGCTGCTGCTGCTACAATGTTCTTGCTACTGTTGCTGCTGCTGCTGCTGCTTGCAACTTGGTAGCTGTTGCTGTTGCTACTGCTGCCTACGCCAGCTTTGATCCTACTACTGCTGTTGTTGCTGCTGTTGCTGCTGCTGCTGCTGTTGCTGCTGCAGCTGCTGTTGCTGCTGCACAACAAGATTAAATATGTAAAGGGAGTTAGCGATCGATATCTGCGGTGTCTTCGCAGTTGTGGCGACGAGGGTTTAGGGTTTACGGAGGGTTTGTGAGGAGTATCTTGGATGGTTTAGGGTTTAGGGTTTAGGGTTTAGGGTTTAGGGTTTGGAGAATTATTGGCTGTAGCTGTTATAAGTGAGATTAGTATTAGGGTTAACGGTTATCTGCAGCGGAAGGTTAAGTGCTTCTTGCTGCTTTGCTGCAGCAGTAGCAGCAGCAGCAGACACATCAACGGGTACGCCTAGACCTGCAGCTTTATGATATAAGAATGAGAGCTGGATAATCTGTATATTTATTTTTAACAACCATCGTCGAAGCAATCTTTGTCTTTCATTCTCTAACCACTGAGGGCTTTTGCTGCTGCCTTCTTGCTCAACTGCAGCAAGAGATGCTGCTGCTTCAGCATTATTAGCAGCAAACTGCACGTTCAGAACCTCGAGCTCCTGCATCATCTCTGCTGCTAGTCTAGAGAAAGTTGCGCTGCCACGCAGTGATTGGCTGTTGCTGCTGCTGCTGCTGCTGCTGCTGTTGTCGCTGCTGTCGCCGCTGCTGCGGGCAGTGGCCCCCATAGCGTCTACTGCTGCTTCTCCTGCTGCTGTTGCTGCTGCTTCAATTGCTGCTATCAAATCACTGTACATCGTCTCTGTGCGCTGCAGGGAGTCCAGTACTTCAGCAGACAGCCTTGATGTTTCTTCCTGGCTTCCTTCTGCTGCTGCTGCTGCTGGTTCTGCTTCTGCTGCTGCTGGTTCTGCTTCTGCTGCTGCTGGTTCTGCTTCTGCTGTAGCACGTGCTGCTCCTGCGCCTATTGCTGCTGCTTCTGTTATCTCTTCATCATCGCTGGCGTCTTCTCTAGGTTTAACTTCTGCCTCTTCCTCCTGCTGCTGCTGCTGCTGCTCCTGCTGCTGCTGCTGCTGCTCCTGCTGCTGCTGCTGGTCCTCCTGCTGCTGCTGTTCCCCTTCCTGCTGCTGCTGCTGTTCCTCTTCCTGCTGCTGCTGCTGTTCCTCTTGAGTCATGGATTTTAAAGCCTCAAGCAAAGCCTGTGCTTCATCAACAACAACAACAACTGCTTCTTCTTTTGCTGCTGAGAAGCTGCCCTCGTATTTACCCTCAAGAGACATCTGAAGAGGTATATCTGCTGCAGCTTGAGGAGGAGACAGCAGCTGCATCAGCCACTGAGAGAAGGCAGTCCATAGCTCGTTATTATCTTTGCGATTTGCTGCATTTGTTTCTTGCTGTCTCTTCGCCTTTCTCTGTGCTGCTGCTGCTGCTTCCTTCCAGAGACCTACTAAATCATCATAGGAAGCCTTCAGCTTCTCACGGTTCTGCTGCTGCAGTTGCTGCTGCTGCTGCTGCTGCTGCTGCTTACGAGCTTGTAAACGTGCACTCATTGTTGTTGTTGTTGCTGATGTTGAAGATGTGGATGTAAAGGGGACGACTAAGAAGGGATAGAAATCTCGCGGAGTATCTGCTGCTGCTGCTGCTGCTGCTGCTTCATCCCCCAAACCCTGCTGCTCCTGCTGCACTGCTGCTGCTGCTGCATCGCCCTCTACAGGGACAGCAGCAGCAACACTCACCTCCGGATACACCACAGCGCCTTCAGACAGACAGCAGCAAACAAACAAAAAATATTATTATGCTTACACTCTTAACTCTACTTATATCTACCCTTACGCATTTATATATATCTTTTATATGCATCATATATATAATTATATAATATATATAATATAATTCACATATATATATATATAGAGGTACACAGATGCAGAATTGGTGTATAAAGATAACAGCAAAAAAGAGAGAAGTATCTTTGATGCGTTTGCTGCTTCAATGCTGTACATACACCCCGTTATGCATGCATATATATATATATATATATATATTATATATCATATATATTATATATTACATACTTTATATTATCTATATCCTCCGTGTTGTTTATGAAGTGTATATTAATTGTTTGTGGGGTGTATAGACAGGCGATTATTTATTTATTACTTTTCATCGACAATCAATGTACATACATTGAAACTCAAAACAGCGTACGAAGAAGGATTCATGTAGGGTTTAGCGTTATTTAGGGTCTAGGGTTTAGCGTTATATAGGGTTATTTAGGGTTATATAGGGTTATTTAGGGTTATTTAGGGTTATTTAGGGTTTAGGGTTTAGGGTTAATTTTACCGGCGAGAGCGGCTGCTGCAATGAGTAAGAGCTTTGAGAGCATTTTGAGTTAAATAAGAATGACGTAAGTATTAATAATAAAGAAAGAAGCAGAGCCTGCTGGCTGCTGCTGCTGTATATATACTTGCAAACCTGTTGAGGTGTATAGAGACTACCTGTATAGAAGAGGGCATTAAAAGTTTGTTATGCCCTATGTCTTCTAATAAATACCTGAAATAATATTATAATAGTTTAAACAATGCATTTAGAAAGCTGTTTCTTCTCTTTTAAAGACGGGGAGAGACAGCTGAGGTGTATATACACCGTAGACAGTCAGGCGCTCTATCTATCTACAGCGCTGCTAACCCTACGTCTATTGCTAACTATAACATATCTTTCTAAATGAAATATTTTATTTATTTATTCTTTTATAATATTATAATTCTTTTTATATATTAAAAACAAACTAATACACTCTTCTTCGCCTCTTTATCAAACCCTCGCATAAACCCGCACACCAACGCTCAGTCACTCCGCACGCCTAACGAGGGTTTAGGGTTTTTAGAGGGTTTACGTATTAGGGTTTAGGGTTTTTAGAGGGTTTACGTATT